GATTGTTGGGGGCTGTGGGGAGAGAGAATGAGGAGAAACTTTTCAATGGCCAAAAGGTTTTACTTTGGAATTACGGAAATGTTGTGGTACTAGATAGAGGTGGCGATTGTACAATATTATCTGTACCAAATATCTGAGTTGCTCACTTTAAAATGGTAAATTTTATGTTATGGGAATTTTAGCTCAAATTATCTTCTACAAATAGCATTTTGCATGTAATGATGTGGTACAGGATTTCTTCTATTGTTTATCTATTTTTCTAAGCTTTATTGGCTTAAAAATTGGGAAAGCACTAGAAACAAAACAAAACTCCACAATTTAAAACCACATTTTAGGGCAGCTGAAAAAAAAATGTTTAAGAAACAGATGTTGATGCCTTTTTTTTTGTGGTAGAAAATGCATGTTTAAACACACAGTGTAATTTTTATCTCTGTTCACTAATAATTATTTTTTTCTATTTCTAAGAGCTCTTTCAAGTAAAACATAAAGGATAGCAGCAGAAAAGCACACAGACTTATTTTAGAACAAGTGCTGTTGGGGGACAGGAGATTGGGCAAGGGCCTGGGAGGCTCAGATGAAAAAGGTAAATTCAATCCAACTTTTAAAGCAGCAGCAACTATTCAGAGACTGAGAAATAAGTCCATGCCCAGCAGCACCTGCTTCCCTACTTGCTAAAGAATCGAGAGAAAGCAACACTTTGTTTTGCTCCTATCATAAAACTGCTCCCTGAAGAGTGTAGTCAGAGCCATTGAGTTTAGTTTTGAAAAAATTAGAGAAGCAATAAAGAAGGATTTGAACTTATCATTGCTTCTAATTTTCTTCTGTAATGAGTTTTGGGCTTAAATGTGTGTGCTGTTTGTCCTCGTTCCTTTAGGAAAATATAAGTAGCAGCAGAGCTCTCTCAGGAGCCATATTTCCTTTGCTCTGCTGAGGAAAACCACCCACATTCAGGCTGCTGACTCCAGTGGGGGCTTTTAAAAGAACATAGAAGGTGTTGTTGAAAAGAAAAGACCAGAGACTTTAATTTCTTTATATGAGCTACTTAACAGGAAAATACAAATAGCTAAGAAAATAATTAGATATTCCCAAGGGGAAGCAATGGTTTAAAGTGTTTCTCAAAGTATGGTTTATTATTTCCTGTCTCAAAATTTCTCAAATATTTGTTAAAACTATAAATACTAGGTCTAATCTTAACTACTGAAACAAACCATGGAGGCAAAGCAATATTTTAAAACTACAAGCATATATATATTTTAAACCAGAGGTCAATAACTAGATGTTGGGGACCAAGTCTGGCCCACTGCTTGTTTTAGTAAATAATGTTTTATTGGAACACAGCTATACTCAGTTGAAAAATGTTTTTGTGCTACAACGGCTGAGCTGAGCAGTTGTGACAGACACTGGCAGCCTGTGAAGCATAATATATTTACCTGGCCCTGAAGCAAAAGAGTTTGCCACCCCTGCCCAAAGCCAATAATAGCTCCCAAGCTCTAAAGGGCATGCAAATCCCTTAGACATCATTCAAAAAGTCCATCTTGATTCATTCAGCCTGAGGTGGGCCTGAGACCCTGGTCTTTACAGACTCCCAGGTGAAGATGATGTTGTCATTTGCAGATCTCATTCCAGCACAGCTGTCTAGAATAATGGTTCTCCAAAGATGAGCAATGTACCTTCCCGGTTCCAACACACACTTAGTGGATCAGAAACAACCCACATAATTTATGGAGACTTCACCTCCAGGTAATTCTGATGTATTCCAAAGCTTGAGAACAACTTGTGCAGACTATTCCTCTGAAAACTAAGACCTAACAACTGCTCTCTTTTCAGAAAGCCTGAAATGATAGGTTTATGCTGGACTCTAATTGTCAGTGGCTCTCCTAAAAACAGTACATGTTTGTTGATCATAAAATCAACAGGGAAGGAAACAGTATAAAACTGCATTTGAGAGTATATTGATTATTTTCCCTATGTCTTCGGTATAGTGGTTTCAAAGAAATAAAATTTCAAATATGTGTTCTTTGGTTTAATCTACTCTAATATTGTCTTTTGCAATGTCTTCCATTTTTGTGGCTGCTCAAAATAGCTTTAAATGTCGTGTCATTTCTGAAGTGGCCCACAGGAGGAGCTAGTGTTATAGTACTGATCCTTAAAGGGAGCTTTTCCTTATTGGCTGAATCAATGAGGAATGGTCACTTGATTAGCTGTTGAATAAAACGTTACATTATGGATTTATAGTTCTTACTCTCCATGTTATATACAACCCTTTTAATGCCCAAACATCTACATGATGTGTTCAAAGTGAATGTAACCTATAAGCAATTTAACTGCTGTCAATTCAACTGTACTTTATCTGTTCAAATAATATTGAAGATTCCCTCAGTTATAAAAGTACCAAACTTGATATTTTTGATGTAAAGATTTGAGAAGGAATGTTTACATAATTGTACAAATAAATCTATGGTACAGAACACAGTTTGATACCAAGACCGGCAGTCAATGCTGACATAGTTTCCTGGAAGCGGCTGTCCAAGTCCATGGTATGAGGAGGTACAAGGTATGCTGCAAGGAAGCGAGCCATGTAATGCTAATTTGTCAGCAGGAGAGACAGTGTTTAAAAATACAATGGAACTTTCCCCAGGAGTGAAGCACTAGTACACAGATGGCAAGTGGGCCACACGAGACCCCTGCCCTCAGCACCAGGAAGATTTAAATGGGTTTGCCCGGATTCAGAATGCGGCTTTGCTTATTTAATAATTAAAGCTAGCTGGGCATGGTGGCATACAGCTGTGATCCCAGGCCTTGGAAGGCTGAGGCAGGAGGAGCACTGTGAGTTCAAGTCTATTCTGGGCTACCTACTGAGTTCCAGAGAAACCTAAACTACATAGCTAGGCCCTGCCTCAACAAACAAACAAGCAAAACAACAAAAATAAAAATAATTAAAGCTAATGTTAATAATACAGTAAAAGGACTGAAAAAACCATACTGTATCAATTTGGTTTATGAAGGGAAATGATTTTATGGAACATTCTGTACAAGACGGGCCAAAGTACATTGTGCACGAGAAGCACTGAGCATTTGCTGATATAGGAAGAGATGAACAAAGAACTGAAGAACTGCAATGGCAAAATAAAGAGACAGCCAAGATGGAAGCAGGCTTTACCCACGCAAATAAACAAAACGACAAGTCAGAGAAACATCAGTAATCGCGGATCAGGGTTTGGACAGTATGTACATATAGAGGTATAAAAACCGTGGAAATGGTAATGATTAGCAATAAAGATGATGATATCTTGAATCTTAGCAAGAGAATTAGGAAGCCACTTGTGCTTAGGGGAGATGAGTTTCGAGAGACTCATCATTTTAATTTAGGTGGCACTGGAGGTGCTAGACTACCACCAGGTGGCGGTAAAGAAGATCATTCGTATTTCACTGTTGAGTCATAGAAGAGGTTTGAAGCAGAAGTAGAAGTTGGAGGTATTTTTATTTTCATGTTAGGATAGTTTAGGTATAGAACTGATGGTATATATTTAATCATGAATGTACCAATTGATTCAACAAGCATTCAGGATAGAGCTGGTGTGTTCTGGTCTATGGATAATGATGGCCAACATTTTTTGGAGTACTTCTTACATGATAGAACTACTTTTGATCTGGGAATAGATCAATGAGCTTAGATGAACCTTAGATCCTAGTGAGCAAAGATAGAAAATGAAATTAATAAATAAAATGCATGTAATTAGACTGTGATACAAAGAGAAAGAAAGTTGGAAAGTGGAGTAGAGAATGTTAAGGTTAGGAACTTTCAGTTTTAAACTGAGTGGTCAAAGAAGGCTACACAGAGAATGTAACATCTGAATGAAGACTAGAGCAGGTAAAGAAGCAAAGGTTCCTGGGAACTAATGTTCTAGGCAGAGCAGCAAACAACAGCAGGGATATAAGTTCAAAGGCCCTGGGGTAGGCATACTTGGAGCACTAGAGGAATGTCAAGCAGGCCAGTGTTCCTGCAGTAGGAGTAGAGTAGAAGGATGTGGTGTTAAGAAGGGAGCAGAGATGAACTCATGTTAGATTTATAGGCCGCTGAAAAAATTTTTGCTTTTACTAACAGCGGAATAAAGAACCTATTATAGTATTAGTAGAGGAAGGACATGATATAATAATATCACTGAGGCTTCCCACGGAGAAGAGAAAGGAGGAAGAGCAAAAGGTTAGGACTCTGGTCTGGAAAAGGAACAGTGGCATGAGGGATCAGGTTAACAGCAGAGCGGGTGGAGAACGGTGGTTATGTTCTGGCTATATCTTGAAAAGTAGATCCAACAAGACTTGGGGGTGGATTGTGGGGCGTGAGAGAAAAAGTAGAATAAAATATGACTGCAGTGCTTTTTACCCTGAGCACTTGGAGGGCTGGTGTCAGACTACTGCGATGGACTCAGAACCCTTCCGCGCTATGAATGTTGACTTTAAATACGCTAACGTTCTGGCAAAGGCACAGTGTGACACCAAAGGGCAGAATTCAGTGTTGCAGGTACATGAGAGTGGCCTCAGGAGAGGAGGTGAGGAGATACATATCTCCTGGAAGGCGCCGTCAGAGTGGTGGTAGTGGTAGGAGTTACAACACGGGAAAAAGCGTCAACGTGTCCCGAGAATAGTGAAGAGAGCGAGAACTGCAACGCAGGTTCCTGGAAAGCATCAATACTGGGAGACAAAAGTGATAGAGGCGTAGAAGAAGCAAAGAAAACTGGCTTTGAAGGAGGAAGGGCGGGAGGTGTGCCTCAGTGTCGCAGCACTTGCCTCTTATGCGGGATCCTGGATTGGATCCCCAGAACTGGAAGGAAAAAAAATGAAGGAAGACAGAACATCAACGGGCAAGGACTGCAAGCCAAATTTGGCACACAAGAGGACGAGGACAGAGAACGCACTAGGTTTGGCAATTATGAGATCACTGACTCCCGTCACGAAGGCCAAGCGGTGAGAGCTGGAAGCTTATTACCATGGTTGAAGCAGTGCACTTGACTGCAAGCACCTGCGCCCCCCCGAGGGGTGTCCGGATTAGCAGGAGCTGAGTCACATCCAAGAGTTGGCTGGGATGTGAGTTGGTTGGTAAGTACCCCAGCATTCCCAACTCCAAGGAGCAAAACCTCCAAGACTTGTTCTACACAGTTTCCTGAAAGTGCCAGAGGAGATTCAGATCTCAGAATCCCACGGTGCTACCTATATATTAACACATCCGTAATGGCTCTTCCCTTCTCTGACTCATTTTCCTTTTTCCCTGACAGAGACTATTTCCCAAATAAACCTCTGCCACCTAGTTCCTCACCTCACCTCCCAGGGTACTGAGGATTGAACCAAGGACCTGACAAATAGTAGATAAATTCTCTACCGGTGAGCTACATCTCCATATTCCTTTTCAATTTTCTTCTGAGACAAGGTCTTGCTAAACTGCCCAAACTGGCCTTGAACTTTTAATCCTGGAGCCTTAGCTTCCTGAGCAGCTGGTACTAGAGACATGTGTCACTATGCTCTCCCATCTAATTCTTATCAGAATCCATTTCTGGGGATGCCCAACTTAAGACTAAGTAACAAAATTTAAAAGATGAAACAGCAATAAGATTGAGTTGATGCACACCTATAATCCCAGCACACTGTAAGGCTGAGTCGGGAAGAGTGAATTTGACCCCAACCTTAAGCAATTTAGTGACTTAGTGAGACCTTGTGGTGGGGGTAAGGGGGGTAGGGATGTAGCTCATTGCAAAGGCCCTGGGTTCCATCCCCGCTACCACCAAAACAAGCAGACAAACAAACAAGAGATCAATGAAGGAAAATAAGTTAGACTAAACTTGGTTGTAAGTTAAAACAGAAAACAAATAGTAGCTAGAAGTTGGGATATAATTAGGGATTTTAAAAAATTAAATGTCATAAGGCAAAATCAAGCTTTAGGCTGAGTTGTAGCTTTATAAGGAGGAGTTGAGAGTACAGGGCAAAGTGATGATCCAGTTGGCTCCTGAATATCTGCTAGAGACATCGTTGAGTGAAAGCAACTTTTGTGAGCTTGATTATTTTGGACCTTATTCCTTGCTTCAATAATTTTTTTCTGAAATTTAATTGCTTTGGGGCATGTAAAATACAATTAAAAGATGAAAAATATCTCTTGTGATTTGATATTAAACAGGAGTGACGGAGTGTGACATTAAAAAATTGTATCAGAGGTGCACACTGCATTTCACCTTAATTATGTCAGTTTCAGATTCTGGAACACCGCAGTTTCATACATGCCTAATTAAATTATGTCAGAACCAATACTTCTTGGTCAACAAATTTAAAGAAAGTTTCACAGACAGGTAAGAAAACAAGGGAACAAATGTTCCTTGCCTATCTGGCTATCGGCCCAGAATCAGCTTTTAAAGTCTTTCTCACCTGTAAAGATCTATTGGTGTAATAGGCATTGAGCTGAACAGAATTAAAAGATGAATGGTGTGATTTTGAGTGTGTTTTGGGATCATAAGAAAGTAGTCTGTGTTAATTCCACAACTTCTCATTCCCTATGAGTAGTTTCAGACTAAGATATCTTTTGGAGATATAAAAAGCGAAAACAGACTACCAAATTTCCTTTTAAAAAGACTAAAGAATTAAATAAGTTTAAGAGAAAAATTTGAGCACTCTAATAATAAGCATTTTATAGACAAGAAACTATAAGGATTTAAAGGAAAAGACTTCTTGAATAAATCCTCAGTAGCACGGGAACTAGCACGAAGAATCAACAATTGGGATCTCATTTTATTAAAAAGCTTTTGCACTGCAAAAGAAACCACCAACAGAGCTAAGAGACAACCTACAATGTGGGAAAAAACTTTTACCAGCTGCTCCTCAGACAAAGGACTATTATCTAGAATATATAATGAACTCAAAAAAAATCAGACCCCCCCAAATATAAAGATCTGATTCAAAAATGGGCATCTGAAATGAACAGACATTTCTCAGACAAACAAGTAAAAGCAGCAAATAAATATAGGCAAAAATGTTCAACATCACTGGTCATTCAAGAGATGCAGATGAAAACAAAACTAAGATTCCACCTTACTCCAGTAAGAATGGCTGCTATCAAGAAATCAACCAAAAACCAATGTTGGCAGGGTTGTGGGGAGAAAGGAACCCTTCTCCATTGCTGGTGGGAGTGCAGACTGGTGCAACCACTATAGAAATTAATATGGAGATACCTCAAAGAGCTGGGATTAGAGGTTCCATTTGACCCAGCTATCCCTCTGCTGGCTGGGTATCTTTCCAAAAGAATTGAAAGATTCATACCACAGTGATATATGTGCACCCATGTTTATAGTGGCACAGTTTGTAATAGCTAAAAAGTGGAAACAGCCCATTTGCCCATCATTTGGAGACTGGATAAAGAAGATGTGGTTTTTCTATAAAATGGAATATTATTCAGCCATAAGGAATGAGAAATTCAAGTCATTCACAGGAAAATGGATGCATAGTGAGGTTATACTCTTAAGTGAAATAAATAAGTCACACATGTGTAAATAACAAATAGTTTCTCTGGCGTGAAAAGCTAAAAGTGTAAATAAGACCCTAGTGCTATAATTGACAATGTGAAATAGGAAGAAAAGGCTTAAGGTGTAGGGGAAGTGGGAAAGGTAGGGGAAAGCAAAAATATGAGAAAACGAAAAAATGGGAAAAAAGTATTTGTAAATAGGGAAGGGAGGAGGGGGTGAAGGGAGAGCAGGGACAAGGGAAAAAATGAGAACCAAGACCTGTCATGTAAAGGTAGAAGATCTCAATAATGAATGTAAACTATAAGACCTTAATGTATTAAGAGTTAAGCTGTGTACTGATGGTTATAGAGTTGATAGTTAAGCTCTATCTACAGTGCTCTCCGATGTGCCAGGCACTAAATTCCTAGCCTGTCTATTCCTTTCAGTGGATGCATACATGAATATTCAGGAATTATGTGTTTCCTTCCCTTGTGCCTATTTATGTTAATAGCAATACTTTTTGTCTTTTTCTTTTTAAAAACCTTCTAGAGCTCATGGCCCACCCTCTTTTCTACTTAACTCTTCCTGGAGGCATTCAATAATACAATGATAAATAAGGATATATACTATTGAGGATTTTAAAGTAAGTCCCTATATGGGGAACATTAGTTATACTAACAGGTAAAATTTAGGGGCATAATGGTTAGTTCACATTCTGAGGGAAGTATCTGGGGCCGCAGAGAACACCAGCTTCAGACATTTTGAATTAGGCCAGTTATTTGCTAGGGTCTGATTGCTTCTGGAGTTTGCTGGGTGCTGTGCTTCTGGAACATTTGAGCATATAGTAAGAACAAAATAAAACTTGTATTTTATGCTTGTTCAAGTTATTTATTTGGATAACAATAAGTGAGGTAATAATAACAGTTGTTATGCAAGATTATGTGGCATTTATAACCCGTATACATGTGTACGCATATGTGTAACACAGTCTTCATTAAAATGGGTACTTGTGATCCCCTTTAAAGATGAGGCAACCCAAGATTACGCTCAGACAGCTCGTATGTGGCAGGGCTGAAGTTCCAGCTCAGGTCCACCACAACACAGAGCCTCCCAAAGGAGTCCTCAGCACCCTTGTTAGTAACTTCACCTTCCCAGCTGGGAGCGTAGCCCTGAAACACAGAAGCTCAAAAGCAATCATGTGCCCTCCCAGCACCTCTCCCTAACTGTTAAACTAAACCGGTTCTAGCTGCACCCAGCCGACAGGTTAAAAAGGTCAAAGTAAAAATTGCTAAATTATGTATCCTCCTCTTAATTAAAATAATTAAAGAGGACCTCTTTATAAGCTATAATTAATAAATAGGTAGAATTTTATTGAACATTTTAATTACTTTTTCCTGAGATATTTCATAGTTCAGACACTTCATAGTTCTTTCTCTGATCTTTATATTTTCTGTTTTTTTAAGTAAACATTTCTAAGTAAAGCAAAACACTCCGTATAGAAGAACACACAAATCCATGAGCTATCACAGGGAGAGCCCACCTGTGTGATCATCTTCCAGGCCAACTCACTCAGATGCTCCTACGCCATCTTGCCATCGCTCCTCCTGCTCTCCTTCCCAAAGGAGGCTGTTATTTTGGTTTCTAAACCTATAGATTCATTTGATCAACGTTAAAATGTTTTTTTGTTGGTAAAATCTTCAGAAGTTTAATCTTTTTTGTATGTGAATGCTATTGTTCAATGTGATAATTAAATTCATTCAAGTGATTGCCAGTAGCTGTAGTTTTTCACTTGTTGCTGATTTTATGATTCCATTTTATGAATATTTCAGACTGAGAATTCTATTGTTCATAAACATTCGAATTATTTGCCTCTTGTGGCTATTACAAATAAGACTATCATGAACATTTTTGCACATCTGTAAATTGATGTAAATGTTTAACATTAGTGAATAATACCCCAAACACATTTCCAAAGAGGTGGTATTATTTTACAAGTTTGCCACAAATAAGGGCTCCTACTCTACACTTTATCCTGATTTTTTTCCCTTTTTATTTTTGTTTTTGGTGATACTGGGAAGTGAACTTGGGGCTTCACACTGACCCAGGCCTTTCTTATATTTTTGAGCCACGGTTTCACTAAGTTCCTAAGTTGCTCAGCCTGGCCTTGAATCTTTGATTCTCTTTCCTCAGCCTCTCAGAGCACTGGGATTACAGGCTTTATTCTTGATTTATCATGTTCAGTAACAAGATTAGTCCCTTCTCATACAGTACAGTGATGTCAAATATTCTACCCAATGACTGTGCTGTCTTTCTGGACTCCTGTTTCTACTTTCAAGCACAAAGTGTAGCACCCAGCTGGAAATGCTTCTTGGACAGAGAAGTGAATGAGGCCATTTAGTAGCCCGTGGCAGGGCGCCAGGGGATGACCGCACGCGTGACTAGCCACTTTAAAGTCCTCTCAGCATTGTCGCTGTTGATTCATTGGTATGAGAGAACAATATCAAAGCAAGCCATCCAGGAGGGTGTAGGCACATAGAACTTGTGCTGTGATCCCAGCATAAATGAGCACTGGGGGATACTTTGCATCTCTTGTCTTCATAGCGTTTGTATGGAAGGTCGGAAGATACCAGAAGTTCTGCGATACCCCTCTAAAATCAGCAGTAATTTAACTGACAATAGTTGCCTAAACTATCTGCCCCACTTCTCTCAAGTAGGTCAAACCTTTTATAAAAGTTCCTCATACTTTCTAAAACATTTATTTCAGAACTTTTTGAAAATGAGCCCTATTTTTTACTTAGTTAAGAGAAAAGATGTAAGAGATGATGATTTTGATAATCCTGGGTACTAGGAACAATTCTAGAAATAAGTTTACAAAAGATTGAACCCAAGGTCTTCATCCTGGGCTACATCCCAAACTCATTATTTTTTATTCTGAGACAGGGTCTCACTAAAATTGCTCCATTGCCCAGGTTGGTCTCCTGTCTTTGAAAAGTTCAGTGAAGGTTTGGAGATGGTCTGCAGACAAAGAGAGAAAACATTTTTTAAATTTATTATTTCTGTTCTTGTTGTTGTTAAAGAGAAACTGAGCAAGCAAGTCAACTCAGCCTTCAAAGCCTCTTTCTCCACCTTATCTCAGATAACTTAAGCAAGTGCAGAAGAAAAGGTGATGTAATCTCTTAATAATAAAAGGAGGATTAATAGGGGCTTAATCTCCAGACACTTCCAGGACCCAAACTTTCTTTGGCCAAAAAAAAAAAAAAAATTCTAATATTGAACTCTTGGTTGTCTTCTTTCCCCAACCCTAACAATACATGAATGGTCACAAATTCCTATAGAGATTCAGTGTTCTTAATTCCCTTTTCTGCACTCCATGGAATCATGTGCAGAGTGGTGCTGTCCTCTGGGTTCTGGCCACGGTAAAAACAAACACCCCCTCCCCAAAAAAAAACACTCAGTAATTTTTTTTTCTTTGGTGGTACCAGGAATCAAACTTGGGTCCTTGCGCTTGCAAGGCAGGCCACCGAGCCGCTGAGCTAAATCCCCAGTCCTAAACCCTAGCAATTTTTAAGTGAGGTTTTCCTGTTCAAATTTTGTGAGCCTATCTTCCTGGCATTTGTTTTCAATGGTGCTGATTGACCTAGTAGAGTTTTACATTTACCGTAGATCTTAGCAATTTTCTTTTTAAAAAATGGTAGACATCTCCTGCCGGTGTGAAAAAACAAAAACAAGCCAAAGCAGGGGCAAAGGAGGAGGGCAAAGTGCAACAGAATGAGAGCGCTCCTGCGCAGTCAGACTTCCGGCTGTGCAGCCGGAGTGAGGTCAGGGTGGACCTTCCCAGCGTGCAAGCCAGGAGCAGCTGCCACCCTCTCTGGGCTTCTGCAGAATGGGGAAGTCCCCTCCGGAAAACTGGAATTCTCTCCTCTCCCTGCTCCCACTGGGCCACCTTTGGCCCCTCTATGGTGGGGAAATTGAGGGACGCTAAAGGGTTGAAAAACTCTTATTGACTAAGATAGTTTTATCTGAATAATAAATTTGAATATATCTGCAGTATATTTAGTGTTTCGCGAGTTTTCAAAGATGACTAGTCCCCGCCCCCATGGGAGGTTATTTTGGAAAATTCCCTCTTCCTCTGTCGCTGAGGATTTCTTGTTTATAGTTGCCTCAACTCAGAGAACTCTTCCATCTCTCTGAATATAATTCCTTCAGTAAGATCTTGCTGCCAGAAGGGAGTGGAGCAAAAACGATAAAAACTCTTATTACAAAAATTTCCCAGGAGCCTGAGTCTGAAAAGACTTCATGGTATATATTTTAATTTTCAACCATTATATTTCGTCCTTTAATTAGACGACAGATGATTAGAAGAACATCGGCAGTTTTTTGTTGTAGTTTCAAAAACTGTAGAAGTACAGTTTTCTTTTTAGGGTGTCGATGGAATGCTCTGTGAAGGTATTACAGAATCCTCAAAAATCATTTTCTATGCCTCCTGTGCGTGAGTGCACACAATATATACGGTAAATGGTGCCTGCTCAAGAAAAAGTTGCTAACTTCTTCTTAAAAACTAGGCTACTTGGCTTTGAAAAAATAATCGAATCTAACACCAGGGCTACCTACTGGAGTCCTCAGTGACTTCGCTGTACTCTTGTCATCATTTTGCTCTAGAATTGTTTCTTGCTCTATGTCTTCATCTTCAACTATTTTTTCTTTACCTCCGCTGCTGGTTCACTTACTCACCCATCACGTCACCTACAGTGGTGCATGCTGTGGCCACAAACCTCACCATTGTGGTTCAACCTCTGGCATAAGCATTGCTCCTTCGCTTCTTTTAAAATGTGAATACCTCCTAGAGGGTCCAATACGAATTAAATCATGTGAGACATTAAAATGAATTAGTCTCTCAGGTCCCTGTGGACACAAGGCTAGAACAAGGAAGTTGGAATTTAAAGGGGGTGGGCAGGGCTATTGAAAAAGGAAAAGAGAGAAGAGGCACATTAGATAGAGTTCTTCATATTTCATCTTAGGGTAACACATCACTCATTGGAATCAGAGAGAACCATAGGGCCAGAAAACTTTTACCAATTGGTATGATCTTTAGAGAGGTAAAACTATATCCTGATGCACCTTTAGAAAAAAGCAGTATCTCTCAGTACGCATTACTACTACAACAAAAGATGTATTTGGTCCCTTTTCCCCCTTCCGCCAAACACCTTTCTGTTTTCATCCTCAACAAACAGCCTCTCTTCCTCCTCTAGTGCCCCACGTTTGTTCCTGGTGTTTTCTCTAAATGCCTTTGCTCCTCTCTCACTTTCTGGGCTTCAGGGGCATCATCCAGAACACCTTTTATTAGGAGACATTCATGAGCACTGCTCCTCTCTGGACTTGTGCATGTTCCTTGAGACCAGTGACGTGTGCACGGTGACTCTTCATTCCCATGGAACACTCTTGATGATAAAATTCCGTCCTTTTAAGGCTAAAGGTTATCATCAACATTTTCTTAAAGAGTATTCATCAGAGCATGCGAAAGGATGTTTAAAGGGTGGTGTCAACTAAGGAAGGTTTTGTAATTTATCTGCTTCTAAAAATGTTGATATAAATGTCAAATATACTCTTTAAATTCAAGATTTCCCAGAGACTTAAGCATGTTGATACAAGTTAAGCAACTGCAGTGGGAATCAAGGTATGCCGAATTTCTTTAATTTGTTTGATAATGGAATTTATATTCAAAAAGATTTTCATGTGAAATTTTAATTTACTCTGATCTCATTGTACAGATGAACAAACAAAAATCTAAGTTTATATAGCTATTTTTAGTAGACTAATATGTAGAACTACAGTCTCCTATATGGTAGGCCTCTGATCTTTTTATCATATCCTTCTGCCTTTAGAATGGATATTTAATAAAATTATTGTTTTAGGCATAATGCCATTTTTTCTTTGCCTGGCCTATCTTAGCATATGAGGCCTACAGTTATGATAGAGACAGAGTCCTCTCTCAAATGTGGCTTTAAAAACATCTTTTAAAAAATGCGTTAAGGTTATTGGAACATTTTAAGTGTACAATATGATGACATTCATTATTGGGAATTTGTACCTTCACATGATGCATCTTGATTGTTATATTTTCCCCCGTTCTCTTGCCCTTCTTTTAACCCCTCCACCCCTCTCTATTTACAAAGACTTTGTTTCTGTTTTTTCCTTTTCTCATATTTATTTCTTTCCAAACTACCCCACCCACTTCCCCTTTGGAAGCATCTTTTTACACAAGTCTTTTAAAATTCAAATGAAGGGGAATTGAGACCACAGAGGTTTTAAAAATAATTGATAAAAAGATATATTTTTAGGATTTCTCTAAGAAACCTAAAAGACTCCACTAGAATTTAAATAGCAAGTTAGGTATGCTTGTGTATTTTTAAGACACATATGATTATTTTGATGTATGGTTTTCCTGATGAATGAAAGTGGAGACCAAGCAGTGGCATAATTAATCATTGTTAAATGATTATATATCCATTTAAAATCCATACCAGTATTATCTTAACCATCAAATTTTAACTACTATATTTATAGGTCAAACATGCATTGA